CGATCTTCTCAAGCAACGTGGCCTACTTTCCAAGCATGATGCCATGGAAAGGTGCCCCGGTCGACCAGATGTGTGATCGATCGATGCCCATGGCATCGAGCCTTTTAGCGTACATGATGTTGAGGCCGCTGCCTCCATCCATCAGCACCTTAGTGAGCCACTTTGTGCCGATGATCGGGTCGACCATGAGCAGATATCTTCTCGGCTATGGGATGCTTTCTAGGTGGTTGGTCCGATCAAAGGTTATGGTGGACTCCAACCATCGGAGGAATGAAGGCACAGTTGGCTCGGCCGTATAGACCTCGCGGCGTGCAAGCTTCTAGCGGTGCTTGGAGTCATAGGCCACCGACCCTCCAAAGATCATGAGATAGCCATCTAGTGTTAGAAATCCGCCGTCCTTCCCCTCGGTGTCATCTGCGACTAGCTTGGGCTCCTTCTATGCTCCCCTTTGTTGGAGCCTTTGGACAAGAACCACTTCATGAGGATGCAGTCCTTGTATAGGTGCTTGATGGGGAAAGCATGGTTTGGGCATGGCCCTTCGAGCAGCTTCTCGAAGTGGTCCGAGGTACCCTTGGTGGGCTTCTGACCCCCCTTGCGATCGGCAGTGGCAACGAGTGAGACATCGTGCCGCTGCTTGTTCTTCTTGTTGGGGCGGTTGAGGTGCCTTCACCGGCGTCCTCGTCCCGCTTTGCCTTACCTTTGGGGCGATCAAAAATTGCCTCGACCACCTCCTCGCCTAAGGCATGGCTGGTGGCGATGTTGAGGAGCTCCTTAGTGGTTTGTGGGCCCTTACGTCCTAGCTTGTGAACCAGGGACTCGCAGGTGGTCCCAAACAGGAAAGCTCCTATGACGTAGGCGTCGGCGACGTTGCGCAGCTCGTTGCACTACTGGGAAAAGCGCCAAATGTACCCATGAAGAGTTTCCCTAGACTTTTGTCGGTAGTTTTTGAGATCCCATGGGTTCCCAGGATGCGCCTATGTGCCCTAGAAGTTTCCCACAAAATCTCTTTTAGGTCCGCCCAACTTTGGATTCAGTTGGGTGGAAGGTGTTCCAACCACATTTCGTGTTGAATCGGCCAGGAACAATGGAATGTTGCAGATAATGAAATTGTCACTATCCGCTCCACCGGCTTGGCAAGCAAGCCGATAATCCTCGAGCCATAGTTCGGGGTTTGTTTCCCCAAAGTATTTCGGGATGTTGGTCGGCGGTCGGTACCGCAGGGTGAGAAGACGGCGTTGAGGATGGGTCAGCCAAAGGCCTGAGGTGCCGGCAAGTTGGGGCTCGAGCTTTGGTCCTCGCTGCTGTCGTAGCGTCTGCTAGGATGAGGGTGGTAGCCATGGCTAGCCTCCTCCCTCTCATCACCGTGGGCATGCCTACGGGCATCTAGGGTGTCACGCGCGTCATGGTGGAGGCTGAGACGCTCATGTACCAGAGCCGAGGCATGCGGCCTGCCGCCTCGCTGCGCCTGGTGGACTGACATGTCCCTGTCGGGTCGCTCTGAGGGCGTGCGCTGGCTGGCGTCGAGCTCGCGTCGTTGGGACAGTGAGCTCTCGGCCTGCTGCGCCGCCACACGCTCAAGTAGCGTGCAAATCTCACGATGAGCCCGATGATCCTCGGGTGTCGCGGGCTCCGAAAGTCCTCGGAGCAAGGCTGCCGTGGCAGCGATGTTCTGGCTTGCCCGGGTGAAGTGTGGGAGGGCTTCATCATCATCGATGATCCTCCAGTTCACGTTGATGGCCACGGCGCGCGCACGCCCTCCATCTCCATGGCGCTCGATCTCTCACTCAAGAGCCCTGCGCGTTCCTGCTCGAGCTAGAGTCGTGCTTCTTTGAGCTCTTGGTGTTGCGCCCTCAGCTGCTCTACCCATAGGCGAGGTGGGGCCCCTGCATCCTCCTCGACCATGTCGTCAAGGTCGTCTATTGGGGTAGCCCCTCCCTCATGGATGTTTCAATGTATCCCTCGGGGTTCCTACCATAAAACATTCTCGCAAGGGGTGATGGCCCCACTGCTGGTGTCAAAGTCGAAGGGCGACTATGATTCTCCCGCCAGAAGGTCATGGAAAGATTCCGTGATGTATTTGGTCATCCCCATGAACTCGTCGTCCGTAGGGGATGAGGGCGTGCGCTGTGCCACAAGGTGGCCAACGATCTCTGCGGCATTGCGCAGACCGAATGGGAGCGCTGTCGGGGTGCTCCGGATGAGGCATTTCAGGGAGAGCGGCTCTCCTCCGGCAATCTACGTCATGACGTTGGTGAACGAGAAGGTTAGGCAGCCCAGGTCCTCCTAGGACGGTCGGGGTCCCATGAAGGCGTCGAGCTGGAGCTCTAGCCTCCCGTAATCGAAGCCAAGGAGCTGGCCGCTCCTAGGGGCGTAAGCCTCCGGTGCGTGCAGCCACTCCTCAAGCGCCTCGGCGATCACGTCGAGGCCGGTGGAGTGGCGAGGTTGGACGGCGGCGGGAACCTATGCCAACTCTCCCTCCGTCGTAATGATGAAGTCTAGGTTCCTAAAGCGCACGTGCGCGCCCAGGACCCAGCTGACGCTGTGACTAGCCATCCGAGGCCTGATGTGGACGTTTGAGACGCGCAAAAAGCCCCTACCTGGCACGCCAACTATCGGTATTTTTGGACCAACGATGAGTAAATTTGTATTTGCGTGTCTGCCTCGGATGGTGTGCTCGGAGGACACAAGGGTTTATACTGGTTCAGACGGAATGTCCCTACGTCCAGTTCACTTTGCTGCTCGTATTACCGACACTAGGTTTGCAGTAGGGGTTACAAATAGGCGAGAGAGGGAGAGAACCCCAAGTCTCTGGTGGAAGGAGTGAATGGGTGCTGAGAGCTCGCTTGCCACTCAGCCGTGTGCTCGTGTCGTGCTCTTGTGTTCAAATCTTCATGTCGAGATCTTGATCCCCTTTCATGGGGTGCCTTGCTTTCCATTTTATAGGCAAAGGGAAAGCGTGGATTACAAAGGAGGAAAAGGTGATGAATGAGAGAGAGAAGGCTTCCAGGGTTGTCGGGTCCTTCTTCTCCTTCATGCGAGTCCCGCCGATCCTGTAGATGTCAACAGGGACGGCTCCATGTCATGGCCATGTTCGTCACTAACGCCATGTGCAGGCGTCATCTGCCGGTCATGGCATTCCACTCCGTCCCGGCGGACGTCGTGGTGAACTGACGCGCCTATCAGCGTCCGTACTAGGATTAGGCAAAACAGCACCGGCACGTCAGACACTGTTCTTGATGTGAATCCCCAGGTATGGCCCGTCATGGTCATGGGTTACATTGAGGCGTGCCAGGCTCTTCCCTGGCGTCAGAGTTTTGACCCAGGCCCATATGCTTGGACCTGAAGTGGTTGGCGGTGGTATGGGTCCCCGTTAGACGAGATGGAAACCGCGTCCTTGGGGTCGGGCGAGACGGAGCCCGCGGCCTTGGGCGAGACGGAAACCGCGTCCTTGGGGTCAGGCGAGACGGAGCCCACACCCAAGGGGTCGGGCGAGATGGAGCCCACAGCCTTGGGCGAGACGGAACCCGCATCCTTAGGGTCGAGCCAGACGGAGCCCGCACCCAAGGAGTCGGGCGAGATGGAGCCCGCGGCCTCGAGGTCAAGCAAGACGGAGCCCGCGGCCTCGAGGTCGGGCGAGACGGAGCCCGCAGCCTTGGGCGAGACAGAACCCGCGTCCTTGAGTCGGACAAGATAGAGCTCGCACCCAAGGGGTCGGGCAAGACGGAGCCCGCGGCCTCGAGGTCGGGCGAGAAGGAGCCCGCGGCCTTAGGGTCGGACGAAACATTTTAATACGTCTTGATCCATCCGGGTAAGTCAGCATGGGCGCTAACTTCCTTGCTTTGGGTATCCCTACTACTATCGATACCCGACAACGAGAATGACCAGGCGTCCAAAATCACCTCTCTTTTCGGCATGGATCATCCAGCCAGTTTCCATAGCTTGGTTCGTGTAGAATTCTAAATTTTCTATTTCAATGATATTTACAGTTTCGGGATCTTCCGGTTGACCCAGAATTTTACCTTTTTCGGTTTATGGGATAGCAGATGACAACTGAGCTAATTGTGATTCTAGCATTTTATAAAAGCTAAGTTGATTTTTCACTACAAAAGATTGGACCTTCTTTGACAATTTTCATATGACAAAGCACTTTATACTCATAGAAACAATGCGTTTATGATAATTTTTCAATGGATGACAAGCGTTTGTGACCAATATGTGATTTAGTCGTAAACAACCGTCACCATGTGCCTTTCCCAATCTTTATGACAATAGCTCATGATAAAAGTGATGGAATGTGATGGTCAGAAATTAAAAATTATTTTTAAAAAAACACCTTGGCACTCAAAAATCTATGTAGTTTTATAACATATATTAATTATAAAGTATTTCTCTTAAAGAGTCTAAAAACATAAATTTTATGTTGTTAACATATATAAAAAAAATTTATAAAATTGATGGTCAAAACCATAGCATAAATGTTTGACTTAGGATGGATTAATAATATGACAAGTAAGAAAACAAAGGGAGCACCACCTACCAGTTCCCTAAACGGGGCACATGTTTTAGCAATCATCATTTTCAATTAATTTAGCTTTCACTATCTGAGTTCGATCCAATCAGGGCTTATAATAAATAAATAACAGATGAAGGATAAACATAACAGGCCTGGACACGTGGTTGTTTATGGCTCCTTTACTTCACTCTTCAGCCCGTTTCCGACTCAGTTACTGTCTGCCGATTCGAATACCATCCCAGCGTCCGCATCGGCCGATAAATTCGGCCTCTACCATCAGATATTCAGATCCCATGGTCACGGCACACGACCTTCGTCGTCTCTTTCAACGATGCATGGTCACGCCACACGACCTTGGTCCGACCTCCCACACGACCTTCTCGCCTGCATCATCGGCCGCCTCCACGCCTTCAGCGACCGCGTCCGCTTCCGCGCCGTGTGCCAGCAATGGCGACGCGCGGAGCGCGCCCACGAGCAGCCACCGCCCATGCCGTGGCTCGTGGCCGCGGGGCACTGCGTGGGCCTCCACGACGCCGCCATCCACCGCGTCGCCTTGCCCGAGGACGCCCACACCGCCGCCTGCCGCGGCTCGTTTGACAACTGGCTGGCCCTGTTTCCCGTGTCGCCGCCTCCGTATCAGCCCTTCCTGCTGAACCCCTTCACCATGGAAAGGATCCACCTGCCGGTGTGGAACGTGGGGGACGGGGGGGGGCGATCTGCAAGATCATCTTATCATCAGCGCCCAACTCGGCGAATTGCACCGTCGCCGTTGTCGTTCGTTCCCGAATTCTTCAGTGACCCCCAGCTGGGCAGCGTCGCTGTATGCCGCCTCAGGCAGAAAGAGAGCTCTTGCCCATGGTGGTGCATTACCGATACGTTGTATCTCGAGGACATCGCCTTCTTCCAAGGGAAGCTACACGCCGTCGACGGAGCCAAGCACACCTATGAATTTGAGGACAGGGAGTTAGAACAGATGCGTAACGTGCATCTGTACTGTACGACTCTTCGCCGGTTTCTTCCGCCCAGAAAAGGTACTACCTCGTTGCCTGCAATGAGAGGCTGCTGATCGTTTGCAGGAGCTTTGGGATAAACCGTTTCCCCGGTGGTGCATACCACACTATTGGATTCAAAGTCACCAAGGTGTCCGAGCACAGCTACCGGAGGACCAGGACCTTGCCCCCGCCACCGGTGGAGGTCAAGTGCTTCGACGGGCATGCACTCTTCATCGGCGATGCCTGCTGCAGAGCTTTCGCCAGCAAAGATGAAGGTAGCAAGATCAAGGAGGACCAGATTTGCTATGCAGACGACGAGAGAGTAACACGTCGGTCGTCCTCGGCAGCGGCAGTGGCACATCAAGTGGAGCATTCCAAGTGGTCACCCTCGAGGGGATGCCATTGCGGGATCTGCAATCCTACGACCTGCGCACAGAGTGCTTCCGTCGGTACCAACACCGTCCCACGGGGCCATGGCAATGCGTCACGGTGCAGCGCCTCATGTTCACGGACGCCTTGCCACCACCGCCGGCTACAGAGTGGGGAGCAACGCTGCTCCTCTGGGAGGTGTTGGGCAGCCTTGGAGCAAACCGAGTGCCGACCTACTGCGGGAGGAGCGGGACATCATCGCAGGACGACCCAAACACCTATGAATATGAAGTAATCTTGTCTGTGCATGTGTACTACCAGACTTGGCGCTTCACCAAAAGCGGGTGCTTAATACAAGAGGCCAAGCAGGAGGCAGCACGCGAAGCTGTCAGCTTCCTCCGCAGTCGATACCGCAGCGTGCTGGATGACAGCCCATGGAGCTCCATACCTCAATACCACAGCTATGTCACTGAGGACATGTATGAAAACCTTGAAGATGAGACGACATGGGATAGCGTTTTTAGTAGGGCGGAGGGTGATCAAAACTCCGGTTTTTAAGATAAGTTTATTTTTGTTATTATCTACTCCCTCTCCATCCTAAAATGAAATATAATCCTAAAACTTTCCTAAGTTTGATTGGGATTATAAAATGTAGAATCAACATTTGTATCTTCAGAAAGGTCTATTACAAGAATATATTCTATTATCTAACTAATTATTCTTATTACGTATTATAAAATATTAGTATTTTTTATAGAATTTGTCAAAGTTGAAGAATTGACGGTTCAAAAAATGAGAGTGACATTTTTTTCTTTGAACTAAGAGAGTAAGGGCACTTTCAATAGTATGATATAGTTATTAACTCTAAGACAATTTCTTCAAGGTTTTAAAGCACATAGCTTATAATATGAATAGCCCTACATGACAACCTCATATAAATATATGATCTTGAAGTGTGTGTGCATGAGACTAGCTATTATCCAGAAATAAGTTTTCTCTCTCTCCTATTAAAATATAAAATAGTATGCTTAGAGCTAACTTGTGAGGGTGTGGTACTTCACCATCTGCGGTTGGTTCATACTTGTGAGGGTGTGGTACCACGATTGCAAGGGTCGAAGGTGTACTAAGCAGAAGTATAAATCTAGAGTTTAGGAGGCCAAAAATATATGTATATGTAGCACACAATGCATGTTAGTAATAGAGAGCTATAGTGAATAAATGTTCAGAACACTTGTCCTCGTTATTGGCCTAAGCGTGCTATGCTCATAGCACCACAATGACAAAAACGGGAGTGAAACAAATACCAAAAGGCAGCAAGGAATACACGGATAAGGCAAAAAGACAACACAAAATAGCAGAGCTACCTGTGTGTTCCCTATGTGCTCATCTTCTTTTTCTTTTATCTATTTTTTTCTTTTCTTTTGTTCAAATTTTTTGCTTTTATTTTTATGATATTTTTTCTCGACTAGAAGCGCACAAGACTACCAAAGAAATTTTGAGATCAATTGGACAAAACGTGTGACCTCTACAAAATCAAGTATGTGCTATGAAAGCTTTTTCAAAACTTCTAGGCTCGAAAACTCAATCTTTGAGGCCGAAATTGGGGAAAAGTTTTCACCCAACCCGATAAAGTGGGGAGAACCAGATGCAGTTTTTTAGATGTCCATAGATATAAAATTTACCTGATTTCAATGTCAAAGTTATTGCTTTTTTAAGGAAGGCCCTTTGAATCAGAGTTTTTTATGGTCACAAGATTCAAACAAATGGTGATACAGGGATGGCGGTTGGTGGTTGGCAACAGGTGTATGGGATGCAGTGGAGGGATCGACACAAACTGGACTTAGACACGATCTAATCTAGCGACCAGAACTCAACCTAAGATACAAACTCAGAACTACAAACTCAGAAATGAATTAGGCAAAGGATAAATAGGAGAAAATTATGGTCGTGGACTATATATGGGATGAAGGCAAGAAGAACTAAGCTAACAGTAAGACGTGAACCCGATGGTTACACCTAAAGATTTAATTACCTCTTGATGGGAACATGGGTACCTGATCTTCCATCAAGTGGAGGTAACTCTTGATTTGAGCATAGGCTTAACACAGTCGATCCAGCTTTTGATCACAAAGATCTGAACCCTTCAATCGTAGCACTATGTTTGTTCCTATTATCAACCATGCATTGCTTCATTGATATCACCATGAAGGTTAATCCTTGCCTGAGAATCAAGAACACAATCAAGAACAAAAAAAGAATTCAATCTGATATTGCAAATAAGATGAAACTCACAAGTTCTGTTGGTAGGAAGTGCAAGACTCCATTGTTTTGGAATCAGATGGGAGAAGTCAAGTGTTTGGGCACGAGATTCTTCGAGATGCTGAAAGATAGGTACAAACTATCAAAGAGAACTTAGAAATGGCTCAACCAAGGCAAAAGAGTTATGCTGACACTAGGAGAAGAGAACTGGTGTTTGCAGTGAGAGATTATGTTTATGTCAGGGTGCCACCTATGAGGGGTATTTAGAGGTTTAATATGAAAGAAAAGTTAGCACCCGGTATATTGGTCCTTTTCAAATTTTGGAAGAAAAAGAGAGGTGGCTTATCGGATGGAATTACATGGGAGCCTTCCAAGGGTGCATGATGTGTTCTATGTGTCAATTGAAGAAGTGTTTACGAGTACCTAAGCAAAATGTACCTTTAGAGAAGCTCCATATGAAGGAGGATCTTACCTATACAGGGTATCCGATCAAGATTTTGGAAACAGCTAAGAGAGTTACTAGGAGTAAAGTTATCTCCAGATGTGCAAGGTGCAATGAATTGATTCTAAGAGGATGAGGCAACTTGAAAAAGAGTAGATGATCTGAAGGCAAAATATCTCTAGCTCATTGAAACATCTTCTGAATCTAGTGACGAGATTCATCCTAAGCGTGCATTGAACCCTAAAAAATAACAAAATTTATAAAAATAAAAACAATCATAAGGTTTGGGAACATGTTTATGCATTCATGATGTTGTATTTTTTTGGTAATAATTTGTGTAAAATTACATGTGTTAACATGTGAGTGCTAACATGTATTATTGTGTAAAGTTTAAAACATGTGAATTTTTGTGTATTATTTTTAAAACATGTGATTTTTTGTATAACGTTTTTCTAATGTGAACAAAGATAAATATGTGTGCGTGTGATCAACAGAAAGATACCAACTGTGAAGATATTCATGTTTCCTTAATAGCCAATGGTGCACATAAAGGGAGGATGTCTCTCACTGATAAGGAAGGAGGTCCCGCCGAGATTTCAAACCAAATTCTTTTTTAAAAATATATTTTAATTATTTATTAATAATTTCATAATTTCTGCATGCAATCCAAATCAAAGTGCTGAGTTTTTGTTTCAGATATTTCACACCAAGAGCTCCCATGCTACTAAGGCCTCAATGGCAACTTTCAAATAGCTAGCTGAATTGGGCTTAGAAATAATAAAAAAAGAACATTGTAGTGGAGAGTTATTGAAGCTGTGAGAGAGTTGTTTCTAGAAGATCGTGCTAGACTGTTATTTGGGAGTCGCTAGCTATTTGATCTCTCTCCCTGATAGCCAATAGAATTCTTCCTAGACTAGCTATTTGAAAACAATTGGGGACGCCCTAAGATGCACGTAGCTGAAGGAATATGTTGTCGTGCATGTAAAAATAAAAGGATTTACTAAATTTCAGGTGTTTGAATTTTAGTTTTCTTTCGAGAGACAATTATTGCATATTTTATAATAAAATTATAGTTTTAGTTCAGTGCTGAGTTTGTGTTTTAGATATATCACACCATTAGCTCGCACGCTACTCAAAGAAAAAATAGCGGGCTATAGCGCTGCTATAGTTGTTGGACTGGCTTGCCGCTAAGCTATTCGTATTTTTGCTGCTATGACAACTTTCGTCGCTATTACGCGCTATAGCGCTGCTAAGTTGCATAGCTTAGCATTTTAAATAGCGGCACTATTCCAACAGGGGGCGCTGTGAGAGGAATTGGAGTGATTTCGAACAAGATTTTGAGTGATTTGGAGCGCTCCTTTGCAGCAAGACTCCTTTGTATCCTGCTGTGAGAGGAAAGGTTGTGAGAGGAATTGCAGCAAGATTCCTTTGCATCCCGCTGAGTTGCGGCAAGATTTGGAGTTCCTCAGGATGCAAAGGTGCTCCTCAGGCTGTGAGAGGAATTGGAGTGATTTGGAACAAGTAAGAATCATTTAGTGACTAGTATTTAATTGTCTACTACACTACTACTAGTGTAGTTCCTAACATTGATATTTATTTTGGATTTATTGTGATTCCAATTGGCTGAACTCCAGGCTGAAGCATAAAAGAAAGAATAAGGCAAAGGACCCAATTGAGAAGCAAGTTGTAGACATTGGTATTTAGTAACGTTACCTAGTCTTATGGAAACAAATTTGTGTTCATCGAAATTTATATTTGCCATGTTTTTTTCATCAATCACTGATGTTTTTCATGTATTTTCTATAAAAACACTATCTATCATAGCGCCGCTATAGCTGCATAGCTGCTGAAAAAAAGTTACCGCTATTTTTAATAGCCCACTATTTTAAACTTTGACGCTACTAAGATGCACGTAGCTGAAGGAATACGTTGTCGTGCATGTAAAAAAAAGGATTTGCTAAATTTCAAGTGCTTGAATTTCAGTTTTCTTTCGGGCGACAATTATTGCATATTTTATAATAAAAAAATTACAGTTTTAGTTCATTGCAATTCTGTAGACACACCCTGCAATTTTGGTTCCAAGAATAAAAAACTTTAGACAAAATCACAAACTTGACAAAATCTTATATGTGTTGGTACAAGAATAATTTAATAATTTATAATTATTTCTATAGTCAGACAATGACAAATTTGATATGTTATGATACAAAGATAAATAACAAATCATAAAAGTGATAATTTACTTGTATTAATTGGTAGTATAAGAGTGTTGCATAAAATCATCTTAAAATTCAGACACCTAAAATATAGGAGAAGTTACTAAAAAACATGTTACTCCTCAATTTTCCTTTGTCGTGCATGTAAAAAATATTTGTTTATTCCTCAGTTCCTTTCATGATGATTGATATATAGCATCATTGCTTTCGTAACCGATTGGTGCAACTCGAGTTGAAGAACGCGCCCTAACCCTGCTCCTGATACCCGTTTTCAATTGCCATGCTTTCCCTTTGTCATCTAAAGCGATGAGAATGACGCCGCAACGACTTAGCTTTAATCACGTCGTTTAATAACATACACTAGTCTCTCTTTCCACCTTATTGTCACGCATCTGAAATCCAGCAAAATCTGAGGAAAACTTTCTGGTTTTACACATATCAGTTGAGAACAATCTTTGCAAGTTTACAAGATCTGTACTCCACCACTCCTTTAGTTTAACACGTAATGCGTGATGTGTGAACACATCCTCGAAATTAAACCTCTTGTCCTACCTATACACTCATCATCTTTTCCCCCACTCAACTCAACTCAAGCAAACTCATATATCAAACCAGAAACCAACAACCGCATGTACACCTCG